AGCTCTGTGTGTGCGTGTGGTTCCAGCTCTGTGTGTGCGTGTGGTTCCAGCTCTGTGTGTGCGTGTGGTTCCAGCTCTGTGTGTGCGTGTGGTTCCAGCTCTGTGTGTGTGTGTGGTTCCAGCTCTGTGTGTAAAGTCATCAGGGAGGAGCAGCGCAGCAGACCCGGTGCCGGACTGCTCCTTAGATCCACACAGCTCAGGCTCCGAACAGAACCCTCACTTGGAGCTGCTGATACACAGTTGTGTGTGGGTGTAGGAGGTGGGAGGGTGTAGGGCAGGAGTTTGGGTTTCCTCTCACAGGAGGAGGTGGAGGTGAGGAGCAGGGGGAGGACAGGGGGTCCTGAGGACGCGACACGACTGGACTTCTGCTCAGAAGAAGTCCTGCTCCTGGGTTCAGCTGTCTTTTTGTCCCTTCCTGAAATAAACAAGTTAAGTGTGTGTACATCATGCACGTGACAACTTTACTTAAAAGCATAGTTCACTTTTTAAAACAGGGCTTCTGGGGGTAAAATTATGAACAATTAACATCTTACCTGCTGCAGATAGCATTTTGAACAACGTCAGAAAAACAGAGCTTTGGACCTGAGCTAACAGCTAATCCACACATGTCAACTTAAACAGATTGTCTGTAAGTTATAAAGATTTAACATCATTTTGCAGGTTTACGGATGTATAGAGTAATCTCATGGATTTTTTCAAGTCTTACGGATTTTTTCAAAACCTCATTTTCAAATTTATCTAACATGTCAGAGCCTATAGGATGATTTAAAAAACAATAAATAACATCAAACAGCCATCTTCCAACCTGTTCTGCCGCTAGAAATAAGTTTTGATCTTTTCCCGCTCTCCTTTCCTCCTGCTTCGCAGCGGGTGCTTTCATGTCCACAGCCGACAGACCCCGCCCCCTCGTGGGTGCGAGTTGTACAGATATTTTGCAAAATTTACGTATTTTTGAGGCTTTTTATACAGGTAAACGTCCGAAGAGGTTGACATGTATACTAATTAGGGGTGTAAGAAAATATTGATACACTGAAATATCGCGATATTTCATTTCCCGATACTGTATCGATATTCTAAAGCCCTGTATTGATTTTTAATTAAGGTTTAAAATGTCAACCTTCTTGCCAGCCGTTCATTTTTATGTTGTAGTTCAGCCTCTGACCACTAGTTGGCAGCAGTGAGCCAGCCATTTGGCTCCTCTACCTCTGAGCACCAGAGAGTAAAGGTAGCATTAGCATTGTAAGTAAACATTAGCTTTTCTTTTTTTTTCAGTAAGAGGTTTTTATTTAATAAAATTTTTGGACAAAAAATTGCAATATATCGCAATAAATTGCCTTGCTTACAGTATCGCAATATATCGGGATATATCGTATCATGACCCCTCTGTTATGATATGTATCGTATCGCCAAATTCTTGCCAATACACAGCCCTAATACTAATCCAACAGTGGACCGCTGCTATCTAAAACCAACTCAAGTTTTAAATTTTCATATTTATCCCCGCAAAACATTATTTAATAAACATTTACTGTTATTTTTTTGCATCAGTTATTCCCGTAGAATTATATAGTTGTTAATAAACACAAAAAGCACCTAGCTTAAACACTCTTCAGCTAACACCCTAATGTTTCACCACATTTTCTACCGTTTTAAACTAAAATCATGACAAAATAAGAAATGAAGGAGCCGTAGCTGTTTTACTTATAAACATTATCTTATTATATAGAGCTCAGAGTGTGTATGTGTTAGTGACAACTCTCAGCTACTACCAGCCCAAGTCTGAGCTCAGCATCTGGAAAACGTGTCTGACTTGTTGCTATTTTCATGTTTACCAAAGTTGATTAGCTGTGGCGGCCATTTTAAAATATTTTGACTCTAAAGGTTACAGATATAAAATCCTTCCTGTCTGGAACTTTCATTCAAATTTGACCAGTAATTTATGAAATATTTTGCTAACACAACAAATGCACATACAAGCTGCATTTCCATTGACCATGAAAATGTGCAAATTAGAATTTCGAAAATAAATTTGCTCAATGGAAACACGTCAGTTTCGAAAAAAATACGTTTTTCGATAAAATGTTTTTGCGCTAGGATGAGGTGGTATTTTGGCCGTATCGAAATTGGTGTTTTTCGCAAAACTGCAATGGAAACACTTTTTCACATCACGGGAGTCACGTGATCAACAACCGGCCGTTTCTACTGGTGAAAAAGACGATGACAAAGAAGATTACAGGAATTAGAAATAGTAGTAATATCACAGAAGTAGTATAAAATAGTAAACTCACTGACTACAATTTCCCAAAAACACAGCATACGTAGCCGCTCCCAAGTAGGGACTTGTCTCTGGAAAGCCTSGATAAAAGACGCCGACGTCTCCTCTGATGATGAACGCTAGTGTCGTGGTAGCAACATGCTATTTGTTTACATCCATCGCTGCCATGTTTGTAATGACTTATTGTGAGAACAAACATATTCACGCGTGACTTTAATAACATTTCTTACTTAATGGAAACACTGCAGTTGCGAAAGTGTGTTTTTTCGATATTAACAGAATATTGACAAGTTTTGCGCACATTTGCAGTGGAAACGCAGCTACAGACCCTTCAGGGACGGCTCAGACTAGCTGTTAGCTCATCAGTCCTGTCAAACTTGAACTCTTTGTCCAAACTGGTCATTCAAAGAGCCATCTACAACAGGTTAAATACTGACTGTGCAGAATCACTGCAGAAGTATCTGTTAAAGCAGAAGAATGAAGCAGAAAGATGAAAAGTGAATAAATGATGAAAGGAAAGTCAGTTATAAAGCACAGAGCTGTTTATTCTTCACACTCAACACAAGCACAGTCAGAGACTTTCACTTTACTTTTTTACCTTTACAAAATTAAACAAGTTTACTTTTATGTAAATACTTTAAATCTTTTGCTGTACGCAGCTCTCAGGCACAAAAAAATAGCGTGCAACATTATATATTACTGGACTAAAGGAAAATTATATACAAAAACCGAAGAACATTGTTCCTGAAGAGTGTGACATTCACAACTTTTATTGACAACACAACTGCTTGTGTTTGGACATTTAAACCCATCCAGAGAAACACAGAAGCATGATTTGTTTCTGAAGAAAGCAAGCGCTTACATTTAATATTCACCTGCAACTAACAAGGAGGTTTAAGAACTAAAAATCAACCTAGAGTTTGTCTAAACTTTGATCAATTGTTACCACTTACAGCAAAGTAAAAAAGAAAACACCATGAGTGACAACTGAAGATGTGTTTGTGCTCACTTCAACTTCTAGCCCCATAAAAACAAGACTTTATCTTCTCCATTTTTATTATAATGTTAAATACATTCACAAATCTAAAACAGTTGGGTCGTTGTGTAAAATGTAAAAAAAATTAAAATAAAAAATAAACAGAATACAAGGACTTCTTCATCACAAATCATGTTTAAAGTCAAAGATCTGGCTATTCTAAAAATGAGAGCATCACATCTCAAACAAGTTGTTCCAGGAGCAACAAAAGGCTGTAAGTCATGAGTACAAATAAGAACCAGCTGGAGGAACATTTTGTAACAGATTAATTATCAACAGGTCAGTCAGAGGACTGGGAATAAAAAAAGAGACTTTTAGACTGGTTTTTTCTTTAGATTGTTCTTTTTTATGTACAGTGCTCTGAGACAACATATGTTGTGACTTGGTGCTATATAAATAAAATGAATTAATTAATTAATTAAATTAATTTTAGAGACTGACTCTGTCAGAAGTGAAGATGGTTCATCAGTCTGAGAAAAACTGTCTGTAACAATAGCTACGTTTACATGGACATAAGTAATCGGATTAAACGGTCATTCGGAATAAAAATGCGTCATGTAAACAGCCCGTTCTGATTATTCTGACCCGACTGAGCTCGATCCAAATGAATTTTTAATCCGAATGAAAAGGGTAGGTCATGCCGATTGATAATCGGAATGAGGTTCATGTAAACACTTAATCTGATCATCTTATTCTGATTGTAGAAAACTGACCTGAGTGCATGTCTGCTGACTTTCATTCACCTGGTTCTGCTCTTAGAGGAGGCGGGGCAGCAGCACTAGTTTCCAGCTGCGCTGCGCAGAACTTTTCCTCCTCGCTCTCTCAACAGATGAAAAAGGAGACAAACAGCAGACGTTGCTTCGCTAAAAAGAAACAAAAGCACGTATTCCTTCATCTGCAGGCTGCAGCTGAACCGAGGAGTAACGACGTCTCTACCGTTATTAAAGTTGACACGGGTCGTCCTGAGGCACAGAGGAGCTTTGTTTACGTTTGTAACAGGAAGTAGAGCTGAACGTTTACAACACTGCACATGTCCAGACTTTTATTCTGAATAAACGTCCAGTGCATGTAAACACTTGTCATGATCGGATTGTGTCCATGTAAACAGTACATTCGGATTATTTATTCCGAATACATTTCAGTCCGATCAAAAAGTTTAGTGCATGTAAACATAGCTAATGAAACAATTTCAGAATAAACTTCTTCAACAGAAAACTGGGAAGACTTTGTACCTGCTGTAATCTACAGCTAATAATATCAGATTATTATAATCTGTATTAATCTCTGAGCTCAAAGGCTGAAAGTCAGTATTGGATGGTTGTGATCTTTGGGCCCTCAGGGGAACAGGTCTGGTTCTGACATCACTGCATGGACTCACTTCCACACATCATCTGTAAACACAGTTCACTGTACATCCACTGATGCTGCTTAAAGCTCTATCACACAGAGAAGAGGCCATGTGAACACCATCCAGAAACTCTGGATTGAAGCAAACTGTTCTCTGGTCAGTCAAATCAAAATTTAAAAATTATTTTGTGGAAACTTCGAACAACACATCTTCCATACTAAAGAGGAGTGGGACCAAAAAATTCTACATCAATGGCTCTCATAGAATTAATAGAACATATAACAACTGCTGTTGATCAAAAACAGTTCTGTCAGTATTTTTATTGATTTAAAAAAAGTGTTTGATTCTATTAATCACAGTATTCTTTTTGAAAAGTTAAATAAATATGGTGTTAGAGGACCTGAGTTACAGTGGGTATCTAGTTATTTGGAAAATAGAAAACAATTTGTAGAAATAAATAATGTAAGATCTGAGTTTTGTAACATCTCATGTGGAGTGCCGCAGGGTTCCATTCTRGGACCTAAGTTATTTATTTTGTTTGTGAACGATTTGGTCAATGTGTCGGATCTTTTTGGGTGTGTCCTTTTTGCAGATGATACAACATTCTTTTGTTCCGGTAAAGATATAGAACAAATGTTGGAGATGGTACAGACAGAATTTGTGAAAATATAAAGTTGGTTTCAACTAAATAAATTATCATTAAACTTGGACAAGACAAATTATATGATTTTCAGTAACAATAAGAGAACTATAGAT